TTAATTTCAATGCACGATATTATTCAGTCCAGAAAAATGAATGAATCCGTTTAATTTATGAATATATCACAGATATATGTTCATCTACAGTATCCAAATCCAGCTTTAAACTTCTCCACAACAGTATCTCGGACCTGCCTGGTGTGTTCCTTGGTCTTCATGATGCTCTCTGCACTTTGAACAGAACCCTGAGACTATCACAGAGCAGGTGCATTTATACAGAGACTTGATTACACACAGGTGGATTCTATTTATCATCATCATCAGTCATTTTGGACAACATTGGATCATTCATAGATCCTCACTGAACATCTGGAGTGAGTTTGCTGCACTGAAAGTAAAGGGGCCGAATAATATTGCACGCCGCACTTCTCAGTTTTTTATTTGTTAAAGTTTGACACATCCAAAAAATTTCTTTCCACTTCACAATTGTGTCCCACTTGTTGTTGATTCTTCACAAAAAAATAAAAATTTTATATCTTTATGCTTGAAGCCGCAGCACGGTGACGCAACTGGTAGAGCTGCTGCCTCTCAGCGAGCAGGTCCTTGGTTCAAATCCCGGTCCAGGGGCCTTTCTGGGTGGAGTTTGCATGTTCTCTCCGTGCATGCGTGGGTTTTCTCCAGGTACTCCGGTTTCCTCCCACAGACCAAAAACATGCATGTTAGGCTGATTGGTAACTCTAAATTGTCCCTAGGTGTGAGTGAGAGAGTGAACGGTTGTTTGTCTCGTTTGTCTCTATGTGGCCCTGTGATGGACTTGTGACCTGTCCAGGGTGTACCCCGCCCCTCGCACAGTGATTGCTGGACATGGGCACTATCGACCCCCGTGACCCAAAATGGAATAAGTGGGTAAAGATAATGGAAGGATGGATGGATGTTTGAAGCCTGAAATGTGGCAAAAGGTTGAAAAGTTCAAGAGGGCTGAATACTTTCGCAAGGCACTGTATATGTGGCTATTTTGGATTTTGATATAACAACCCAACTTTATACATCAAAATGCAGCCACACACTAAAATGGAACTTGGCAAGTTGTATTTTTGACGTTATCCAGCTCACAATGTTGACAAGCATACAGCCATCTTAGATTTTGACTTGGCAACCCAATGTTGAAACCTTTCTCACACCTTGCTGCAGCCACACACCTAATATGGGAGGGGGCTACACTTGGAGCAATACACATCCTCAGTTCTGGGGTACATTAGTAAATGTGCTGATGATGTCACCACCACCACCAGATATGTTAAGAGCTACCGACACGATCTTGGCTGAATGCAGAGGTTCGTACCCTGCTGGAAGCCAGGTACACTGCCGTCAGGTCTGGAAACTCACAGGAGCTGAGAAGGACAAGGAAAGAGCTGGTTGCTGGTATTAAGAGGGCCAAGGCCACATATGCACAGAGGATCCAGGGTCAATTCATCTCACAAGACCCACAGAGCATGTGGAGGGGTGTTAAGTGTATAACAGATTATAAAGGCAAAAGTAGACAATGCCCTAGAGACCCATCACTGCCTGATGCCTTCAACATGTTCTACGCACTCTTTGAAAACTCGAACAGACCACCCAGCACTAGACTCACCTTATCACAAGAAGAGGAGTTTCTCAGCGTGACCTCAGCAGAAGTAAGGAGTACTCTCAGGAGGATTAATCCTCACAAGGCAACTGGCCCGGACAACATCCCAGGTAACATGCTGAAAGACTGTACCAATCAGCTCTGCGAGATTCTGGCTGACATATTTAACTCTTCCCTCACACTGGCAACAGTTCCCAGCTGCCTCAACACTGCCACCATTATCCCAGTTCCAAAGAGCTCTACAGTGACTGTCTTGAATGCCTACTGGCCAGTGGCCCTCACCCCGATAGTTGCTAAATGCTTAGAAAAACTGGTCATGACCCACATCAAAGCAACCATCAACATCAACAAGGACCCTCACCAGTACGCATACTGCAAGAATCGATCAACAGAAGATGCCATCTCTTCTGTGGTCCACACTGCTCTCACCCACCTGGAGCAGGACTCCTTTATCCGTATGCTCTTTGTGGACTTCACATGTACCTTCAACACTGTGATCCCCCAGGATAATCACTGTGAAAAATCAAATCATGTTGCTGCTGATCTGTTTCATGTTGCTGCTGATCTGTTTCATGTTGATGTGTTTATTCGTGCTCATCAGCTTACACAGACTCATGTTCGTGCTGCTGTTCAACATAATGTTTTTTTTTTGTTTTTTTTTTCATTTAGCCTTTATTTATACAGGTAGTCTCATTGAGCCACGAGAACTCATTTTCAAGAGAGACCTGTTTAGGGAGCACATGGTGGGGGTTAAGGGCCTTGCTCATGGGCCCAGAGTGGGGCGAATGAGGGTGGGGGCAAGTGTGGGTGTTTCACCAACCCCACCCACAATTTTGATGTTGTCGGGGCCGGGGCGTGAACCGGCGATCTTCGGATCACAGGCCCACCTCTCTAACCTCTTATGCTATTAGTGCTTAGCATATTTTAGCTGATGTTTTTCTTAGTTCATATCTTAGATCTTATTACGGTTTTTCTTTTACATTTTAATGTTGGATGTAACTGGGACCGTGTACACAATCTCGTTCCACCACATGTACCACATGTGGTGTGGTGCTAATGACAATAATCTCTGAATCAAAAAAATCAAAACTCACAGCAGAACCTTGGCTGAGTGACGTCACCAAGGCCGTTAGGCAGCAATGTAGGAGGGCGGAGCGCAAGTGGAGGAAAGACAGGCTGCAAGTCTCTTTTCAAATACTTAAAGAGAGTTGGGGCTGTTATTAGAAAGCAGTAAAAGCTGTTAAATCCAAATACTTCTCTGATATACTCTCGCAACCCATGTGTCCTCTTCTCCACACTAAACTATGTTCTCCACCTCACTGAACCATCACCTCTGGAAGCCTTGACTGAGCTGTGCGACAACTTCTTACATTTCTTTTTGGAAAAAATTGCGACCACCCAGGCTCTCATTTCCCCTCCAACTCATGACCCATTCATCCTACCTCAAGCTGTAGCTCTATTTGACCATTTTGAACCCATCACTCTATCTTCTCTAGAGCAGGTCATGTGCAGCTTGAAACCGTCTGGTTCACCCTTTGATGTGGTCCCCCCTCGACTACTAAAGGTTTTTCCTACTTTAGGTCCGTCCATTCTGACTATAGTAAACAGTAGTTTTTCCACTGGCGTGGTGCCAAAAACTTTAAACATGCTGCTGTCCAGCCTCTCCTGAAAAAAAACAAACCTTGACCCCTCAGTCTTGTCCAACTTCCGGCCTGTCTCCAAACTCCCATTTGCTTCTAAACTACTGCAGAAAATAGTCGAGTCCCAGTTGAAGTGCTTCCTGGAGGGTCACGCCATCTTAAAGCTATTCCAATCTGGCTTTAAACCTCTCCACAGCACTAAAACTGCCCTGCTGAAGGTCTTTAATGACATTTTCTTAACCACTGACACCGGTGATTCTGTGCTGCTTGTCCTGTTGGACCTCACAGCCACCTTTGACACCATCGACCATGAGATCCTCATTGCTAGGTTGGAGCAGTGGGTGGGCATCACAGGGTCAGCCTTCAATTGGTTCAGGTCTTACCTCGCTGACAGATCCTGTTGTGTGTCTCCATCGAGGATTTTAGTTCTGCAGTGGCAGAGCTTAAATGGGGGGTTCCGCAGGGGTCAGGGGTGCGCACCCCCCCCCCCCCCCCCCCATCTCGCTGATCTGCTACAACCGTATGTCCCACCACGTTCCCTGAGGTCAGCGGACCAGTTGCTCCTCACAGTTCCAGGAACTCGTCTTAAGCGCAGAGGGGACAGGGCCTTCTCTGTAGCCGGACCAAGACTTTGGAACGAGTTACCTCTGCTTGTCAGACAGGCCCCCTCCCTCTCGGTTTTCAAGTCCTGTTTAAAAACTCACTACTATTCAGTAGCTTTCAACACCAGATGATCGGTGTTTTGATCCTGTATGCTCCACACTGGTTAGTCGTCATTATCTGCATTGTTTTTTTGTCTATATTCTGATTTACTTCATTTTGTATTTTGCTTTGTGTGTTACCTGTTGTTTTGTCTGTACAGCACTTTGGTTGGCCTTGTAGCTGTTTTAAGTGCTCTATAAATAAAATGGTATGGTATGGTATGGTATGGTAACATGCACAGACAAATTATATTTCCAATTCTCTTTCTTCGCTCCACTACAGGGGACAAAAAGTAGCCAGCAATAACATTTTTTTTAATTTATTGAGTTTTAAAAACATCCACTGAGCAGCTGAAATGTGAAACCCTGGCTGTATGATGTGACAGATGTGGAGTCATCTATTGAATTCAAACAGCAACAGTGTTTGTTTTACAGCGTGGGCAGCGGTTTCTGCAGCCCCACAGCAGTTAGACAGGATGAAGCACAGGTTAATGGAGTTACAGTACATCAATAATGTTACAGTACAGATTCATGGACTCATCTATGTTTCACACATAAGTACAGCAGACAATACACACGTCTTCTGAAGACTGCTTCAGGCAGGGAAACTTTTTGAAAATTCCAAATTTCTTGCGTAAACAATGAACCACACAAACATGCTGAGGGGATTTAAACTGAAGTGTTCCCCCATCAATAATAATGTACTAAATACATTCAGCTATCACAATAAAACTGTTATCTCTATATATTTTTATATTAAATATAAATTAAAATGTGAATGTGCTGCAAACATGAAAACATGGCTTCCTTTAAAAATCCTCTGGCCACAGTGTGAGCTGGCTGTTTTGGCTCTCGACCACTCAGTTCCTTCATGTGATTTACAACAAACAGCACTGAGATTCAGCTGGATTGCTGCTGGAGTTTTGTAAAATGGGGAATGTAAGAATCTTGGCTAACATGTCCAAGTTTGTTTGAAGACACTACCAAGCATTTAAATCTTTATGTTTTCAATCTAACATTTGTTCCACAACATTTTAAACCTCTAGGGTTAATAAAACCTCTCTGTCTATCTTCTCACTAAATTTAATAAAAATTTACTATCTCCTAAGTTCTAAATTTGTTACGCTCTGTAAATGACTTTGAGTTAAACAGAGAGAGAGAGAAAAAAACCGAGCCCATTTCAGATAAGTGCTAGACAAACTGGAAGCTGGAGTTGATAAAAAGTTAGATTTTGTCCAGAAATAAAGCCACAGTGCGACGTGATCGGGCCACAGAGTTGGTCTCTGCAGGTTGGACCGCGTGGTGAGCTACGCAGGAAAGTACGGAAGCAGCTGTGGTGGGTTAGCGAGGATCGTCTGGAGCAGCAATCTTCTCCAGACTGGGCTCGATCCCCCAGATCTCCCTGGCATACTGGGAAATGGTGCGGTCGCTGGAGAATTTACCGCAGCCAGCGATGTTATGGATCACCTTCTTGGTCCACTCTTTGGGGTTCTGTCAACAAAAGGGGTGGGGCAGATCAGAACATTGTGAACTTAAATAGTGTCTAGTTAAAGTTAACTCAAGTACATTTTGTTGGTTTAATGAACTTTAAATTTTTTAAAAGCTTGAAAATTAACTCATGTTGTGCCCCCAGATAGAATGGTTCTTTTAGGATATATTTTACACAATGCCATTTTCGAGAAATCTATAGCGTTCATGCTTCCTTTTAATTGAACAGTTACAATCGCAGACAGCAGAGTGCTGTTTGTCCTGCTCACCGATTACGAATAGGAGCAATCCGACCTCATCCTCGGTCCAAACAACCATTTTTCATTCATCATTTTGGATGTAACCATTTACATGATCAAGACTGAAGTGTCTGCATGACAAGTTGAAATCCAAAAACCTCAGCGTCAGCTAGTGACCTGGCATGGAATCTACAGCAGATTCAACAAGCACAGCTTTACAGAGTAAATATGTTTTTTTGTTCATGTTGACTTGCCACAATCAACATGGAAAAAACACTAACATTTCCAGCAAAATTATTGTGGTAATTATATGTGAAGGGGACGTGTCCCCCTCACATTTAATTTTTTTTTTTTGTTTAGACCCACCCACATTTACCATGAAATATTAGTTCACCCAGCGCTGTTTTTATTTCTTTTTGAACAAATCCATTCCCCTTGATTAATAGGAGAATACTCAAACCATTAAAAGTCCACTCCAGGTTTTCCTGGTTACCTACAACAACTCCACATGCAGCGTTTCTCCTTGGTCACTTGGCTTGGCAGGGTGCTCATCTCTTCTGGAGTTTTTGTCAATGGAGCGTGGGGAGGAGGGGGAGACACCTCTGTGTTGCGCGCTAGCTTAACATTACATTAGTGTCGGCAGTTCTTGATCGAGGTGGGGGGTAGGATGCATGAGTGAAGTGGAGCGTGCTCTATTCACACAAGGAGAGCTGTTGGTCAGGCTACTTCTTGTTGTCCCGTTCTCTCCAATATAGTTTTTGAATCAAGTGTTTACTTATGTAGGTAAACATAGATGCTTAACAACCTGTTAATATACACCAGAATGCAGGAAACAACATCTACTTCATTCAAAATTTTCTGGGGGAGGACCCCCAGACCACCTCACCAGTGTTTCCCCCCACCCACACACACACTATAAATGCTTCTAACACCAATAGTTTCTAGGGATTGTTCACGGGTAAACATGCGTTCCATATAACAGAGCTGAGATCCTTTTTATAGGCAAACTAATCTGTTTTTATTTTATTTTAAAAAAATCTTCAGAACTGTTTAGTTCAATTTGAGTGGTTCAGCACAATTTCTCTAAAGCAGGTATAAGGAAAGACTAGCTGAACGTGAGACTTGGCTGAGGAAATGTGCCCCGTAGACGACGCTATGATCAGTTGTTGCTGATATCTGGAACTCCTCTCAGAAGAGCTGTATTCTGATACCCGTACAGTATGTGTGCCCAGGTCTAAAAACCACACAGGATAAATTATAACAACTAAAAACTTGGTCCAAATCTGTTTATCTTTATTTCTAAAGGGCACTCCAGTAAAATAAATCATAAATGTGGGGGTTTTGATTCAATCCACTTTATTTATATAGCGCCAAATAACAACAAAGTTGTCTCAGGGCACTTTATAGGAACTTTCACATACATAGAAAAGCCAGTTAGTAAAGTTCTCTATCTAAGGAAGCAGCAGACAAGTGGGTGGCTACAACATGGCTACTGGTCAGTTGCTTGCAAACACAAGATTTTAGTGAGACTGCAACTGAAAATGTGCATATTTTCTAGCAATTTCTCTGCAGTTTTAAGTTGCCAACTAGTCTCCTAACAGTCACAACTCAGTGAGAACCACCTATTCTTATCTTTGTAGATCTAAACTAACAAAACTTTTTTGTACATGAACTGAACTTGTTCAGACTTTTTCAGAAACAGTCCTAGTATGCATGGTTGTATCAAGGAGATAGGACAGATGCTGCCATTGCTCTGGAGGGACACACAGGTGTTGCTCTTAGCATCGTGCTGTATGGAGATACTGGGTCTGACTTGATGTTATCTCCAGTAAAGACTCAGGGGGTTTTGATAACACAGCTCTGTCAGTGATATCCACATGTCTGTCCAGATATAGCACTGGTTTGGTCTTTCACAAGACTGTGCCTGTCCATACATGGCACATGTGCCTATGGACTTCCTACATCAAGTTGTCACATCCTACTGATATAGGACCAAGAGAAAACCTGTACTGGCAACCATGATATTCATCCATTCATTTTCTTCCACTTGTTCTGTAGCTGGGTCTTGGGTGCAGCAGTTTGAACAGGGATGCCCAGACATCTCTTTTTCCACAGCCACCTCTTCCAGCTGTTCTGGGGGGACTCTAAGGTGTTCCAAGACCAGCTCAGAGATATATGGCTTATTTGCACTGCTCCTAATAAGCCACAACTCTGGGCAGCCTGCCACGGAAAGAACCCTTTAGCACCAATACTTTATCTAGTATTTTTAGCTGATTGGAGGCTGATTCCGGACCTCTTTATGTCCCTGCTTCTCTGGTGGGACCGTTGGAGCTCAGTCGAGCTGAGTCCGGACCGAAACGTGAATGCAGGACACTGACTGGTCAGGGGGAGGAGTCACTGGATCTCAGAAACTATTTGCCAATTTGCCATTTGCAATTTCTCAGAATGCGGCGCAGCGGCTGGATCTATTTTTAGGATTTTAAAACAATAATGACAACATCGTGTTTAATGCTGAAGTCCAGGCGTTTTTTGTGTTTGGTGACTGACGACAAAATTCGAGCGAGCGGTGTCACCGTGGAGGATCACACGAGCTGCCGACCTGTTGAAGCACACGAGGCCAGACCCTGAGCCCCGGCCTTGCTCAAAGACTGGATTCCGAGCCCTGACAGGCGGGAGGACCGGGACAGACGGTGGAAACTTAAAAAAACAAACATTTTATGTATAAAAAATAATGTTTTTTTAATCAGTGAAGATTAAAAATAAACAAACGGTGCCGGCTTTATCATGAAATCCTGTTTTCACTGACTTAATTAAATAATCCGTTAATTAAAGTTAACTCAGCTGAAAAATCATAAAAAGACAAAATTATTGGATCTCAGGAATATTTCCTTCAAACATGTTTAAAGAAGAGACACAGCCTTTGGTTTAAATTTATTCTAACCCACAGATGTACAAATCACAAAACAAGCATCCATCCATCCATTATCTTTACCCGTTTGTTCCATTTTGGGTCACGAGGGTCGCTGGTGCCCATGTCCAGCAATCACTGTGCGAGGGGCGGGGTACACCCTGGACAGGTCGCAAGTCCATCACAGGGACACATAGAGACAAACGAGACAACCAACCATTCACTCTTTCACTCACACCTAGGGACAATTTAGAGTTACCAATCAGCCTAACATGCATGTTTTTGGTCTGTGGGAGGAAACCGGAGTACCCGGAGAAAACCCACGCATGCACGGAGAGAACATGCAAACTCCACCCAGAAAGGCCCCTGGACCGGGGTTTGAACCAAGGACCTGCTCGCTGAGAGGCAGCAGCTCTACCAGTTGCGCCACCGTGCTGCCCACAATACAAACATTACACTTTAAATTAAAGCTTTAAATCAAAGCTAAACTTTAAATCAAAGCTAAAAATAATCTGTATACAAGAAAAAAGAATCTGTATACAAGAAACAAAACCACAATGAGCGCAAATACAGTACATCAAATGATGAAGAAAAATATAGAATTTTAAATATAGATGTTTTTGTAGAATCTGGTTCATCAGAGATTTAATTCAATTCAGTTTATTTATACAATGCCAAGTCACAACAGACGTCATCTCAGGGCACTGAACAGAAACATTCATATATAAAAATAATAATTTAACATTATTTATGAGGAGCAGACTGTTTTGAGTTTAACTCATCGCAGAACTCTCATTAGCAGGACTTGGATTCTGGACACACCTCCAGAATCGGTCCTAATATGAAGTGCAAATCCAGGCTGAGCAGAGTTGGGGCTGATTAGGAGCAGTGCAAATAAGCCAATGGTCTCTCCAGCATGTCCCGAGTCTTCCTGGGGGTCTCCTCTCAGTTAGACATAGAAAAGCTCTTTCGGGATGCATTCAGGGAGAATTCTTACCAGATGCCAGAACCACCTCAACTGGCTCCTATCACTATGGAGCAGTTCTACTCTGTCTCTCCCAGCTAACTGAACTCCTCAATCTATCTCTTAGGGAGAGTCCAGCTACCCTGCAGAGAAAACTCAAATTGACCGCCTGTCTCTGCAGTCTCGCTCTTTTAGTCACTACTCAGAGTTCATAGCTGCAGGTGAGTGTAGGAATGTGAACTGACGGGTAAACAGGGAGATTGTCTTGTAGCTCAGCTCCCTCTTCACCACAATGGACCGGAACAGAGTCCACAATAATACGGAAGATGCAACAATCTATCTTTTGATCTCATACTCCATTCTTCCCTCACTCGTGAACAAAACTGAACTCTTCCACTTTCATTCAACCTTTATTTAGACAGGTTAATCCCTCGGCCTTGAGGCAGCTCTTCACTCCCAACACATGGAGGGGAATCCACCCTTTTCTGACTGAGGACCATGGGCTCAGATTTGGAGGTGCTGATTCACATTCCAGCCGCTTCACACTCAACAGCAAACTGCTCAAGTGGGAGCTGAAGGTCACAGTATGATGATGCCAAGAGGACCACCTCATCCACAAATAGAAACAGAATGCTGAGGGCAACAAACCAGACATCCTCTGCCCCCTAGTTGCACCGAGAAAATCTGTCTTTAAAAGTTATGAACATAATTGTGACAATGGGCAGCCCTGGTGGAGTCCAACTCCCACCCTGAAGTGGTCCACCTTACTACTGTCAATGAGAACCAAATTCTTGCACCATCTGACTGGCTGTAGCAATGGACCACCAACTCCATACTCATGGAGCACCTCCCGCAGTGTACCTTGAGGAACACAAATTAATACCTTCTCCAAGTCCACAAAACACAAGTAGACTAGCTGTGCAAACGTCCATGACCCCTAGAGGACCCTAGTGAGGGTAAAGTGTTGGTCCAGTGTTCCACGGACAGGAAGGACACTGCGTTGTACCTCCTGAATTCGAGGTTCGACCACTGAACGAACTCTCTTTCCTATTCTCTGTTATCCATTTGATCTGACACTGTAATTATTGCTGTACAGTCACATGGGACTATAGATGGGACTGAGCTGAATGCAGCTTCTCAGACTGAGGAGGTCTTTCAGATGAAAGACGAAACATTTCTACAATTTTTTGTTTTTTGAACCCGTCTAGAGGACCAGACTTAACTTCTTTAGATTTTTCTACCTAGATTATTGAGCATGCATCAGGATATCACATGAGCTTTTAAATCAGTTTAATTTCCTTTCAGTGCCCAACTCAGTCTGTTATTAAACTACGTAAATCTGGCAATCACTCTATGCAGATAACAGCGTTTAGGTTTAGGATGTCAGATGATGTGAGCTAAAGCTTGGTTCCTGGTGTGTTGGAACACTGACCTTGTAAAGAGCGCTGACCTTCTCTTGACATTTGATGTAATCTTCGTAGTCTGCAAACACTTTGAATCTGCAGCACAGACATATGGTTATGAAGTGGGGAAAGCTGACGCATATCAACAACGCAAGCATTTGAGACTAAATTAGTCAACAAAACACAAACTAAACATTTTAAATTGAGATGGTGTTAATTACTTACATGAAACAACTAAAAATGTTTTTCATGGGATAATTTTGGATTTAATGTGAACATCTGAGGATGAATCTTACCAACAAAAAAGTTTGATTCCACACAGCATTAGTGAGCTCTAACCTGTCATGGTTCATCAGCATGTTGACAAGGTCCTTAAAAAGTCCTGGCTGAGAGGGGCTGAAGAAACCCCCAGATATCTGATCTATTGCCTGCTTCAGCTCTGGGATTCGGTTGTAATACGACACGGCATCATACCTGAGGATATCCAACATCAAACAATAGGTTAGAGCCTCCATCACAGAGGATATTCATAAAAATAAAATAAACAAAGACATTTTATGTTATCCTATATCTTGATGTCACATTCTCTATTGCTTATACATCAAATTAAAGAACATTTTTGCGCTGAAACTTTGACAGAAACTACTGTCTATATCCTAATAATCCACAACATTTATTGTCCTGTTTTAGTGGACCGACATAAAACATTTTACAACGAGCCTGAAGGTAAAGTTTGTCTAGAAGCACTTCCTGGGCTCAGCGGTGGTTTATATTAGGTGATGAATGGGAGAATTTTAGACATGAATGTTAACAAGCAGTGAGTTGATGTCCCTCATCCTTGATGGATTTAAATAGTGAATGTTTTTAGTTTTCAAGAGGAGTGTTTTTCTGGACTAGAATTGAACAGGGAACGTAAGTAAACTTCAATGTTTTTTGGTGCAAGATAGTGGGTGTGAGTTACACTGTGGAGAAGAACAGAAGGAGTTTCTTTGTTTGTTTTATTTTTGTTTGTCCAAGGCAGAGCAGAGGGACAGATCCTGGAGAGTGGAGGAAGCATATTTATCCACCACCAGGTGCAGTGGAGGAGCCAGTGGGTGGCCAATGGTGGCCTTGATTAATCTTTGGCCATCCCAATAATTTGGGGAAACTGTACTTTTAAGCAATACTAAAATCCGGAAAGCAGTTTTGTCTAAAGATTGGGGTGGTTGGTTTGCATATACATATGGTGATAGTGGCCATCTTGGATTCTGATGTGGCAACCCAATTTTCGAAAGGAAACTTTCCTACGACTAGATGCTGCCACACACCAAAATGGAAGTCGATAATTAGCTTGTTTTTCAAGTTATCCATCCAGGCTGTCGTATTGAAAAGTTTGCAGATGATACAGCAGTGGTTGGATGCTTCACAAACAACGATGAGTCCAGCTGCAGGCAGGAGGTGGAACATCTGGTGAGCTGGTGCAAGGAGAACAACCTTCACATGAATCTGAAGAAGATAAAGGAGATGATTGTGGATTTCAGAAGGTGCAAACACACCTACCCTCCTCTGAACATAGGAGGATCTGCTGTGGAAGTGGTCTCCAGCTACAAGTACTTGGGTGTGCACCTGAATGACAACCTCAGCTGAGGCAACAACACTTCCAGCCTGATCAAGAAAGCTCATCAGTGATTCTACTTCCTCAGGCGGCTGAGAATAAGCTGGACTGTGAAGCTCAGTCCTCACCTCCTTCTACAGGTGTGCAGTGGAGAGCATCCTGTGCTCCAGCATCAACGTGTGGCATGGAGGCTGCACAACTGCAGAAAGAAAAGCTCTGCAGAGAGTGGTGAAGGCTGCACAGAAGATGTTGGAGTCACCATCACAGACATCTATACCTCCAGATGCAGGATGAGGGCCATCTGCATCATGAAGGACCCCACTCACCCAGCACACACACTTTTTGCCCTGCTCCCCTCAGGAAGGAGGTTGAGGAGCATTAAGTGTAGAACCACTAGACTGAGGAACAGCTTCTACCCTGAGGCTGCTAGACTCATGAAGCTCTAACCAGGATAATCACTGTAATACTACTTTAATTGGAAATGTGACACTTTATCTGTGCTGCTGATTTCTTACCCATAAGCTGCTAAAGTCATACCCATCTGCTCACAATAGACTCGTGTTGCAAAAGAGTGTGGTTGTCCCTGGTCAGGACACATGACGCTCAGTTGATATTATTGGTTCTGGAGAAACCACATATCAACCTGATTGGTCAAGAAAGGTGTCAGTCAAAAGGGGATGGCTTACATCACCATTTTGACTCCCTGGTATTTAAAGTAGAAGCGCCTGGTAAAGTGTAGTATTATGCATTCGGCGGCCCCACGGGCAGGCCACTGAATGTTAAAGGGTAGATGTACATCTAATGTTTATTTCTTGAATATTTCATTAAAATACAGCCAGGGGTCCATGAGGTATTTTGCTAACATTACAGATTAACAAACCCACTGACCTTTTGGCAGAGACTGATAAACATTCCCTGTGATTCCTGTTAATTTACTTTTTTAGCATACTGTATGTAACTAGTGATGATCACAAACTTCTGTTTAGATTAAAGGCCTGTTTCTGAGTCAGCACCCAGGCGTTGTTCAGTGTGATGGACATTCATCAGCTTCCAGGACTCTGAAGCTCACCCCTTCTTGTCCATAGCCTCCACATCATGGACCCTCATGCCAAATATGAAGAGGTTTTCCTCTCCGGCCTCCTCTGCCATCTCCACGTTGGCTCCGTCCATGGTGCCGATAGTGAGGGCGCCGTTCAGCATGAACTTCATGTTCCCGGTACCAGAAGCCTCAGTGCCTGCTGTGGAGATCTGCTCTGACAGATCCGATGCAGGAATGACTACACGGGGAAAATACATCAAACAAAGACCTCTGATTTAGACTGGGTTAAATTTTCTACAACTGCCAACACTGGACAGTAAAAGTAACGTACACTGCATTACTGCAGCTGCAAATAAAAGAAGTCTCCTGCAGTGTAAACTTAGATTAGATGTATACATAATTGTGTATTTAAGACTCAAACTATTTAATTTTTACCTTTTTCAGCCAGAGTAACTCTGTAGTTCTCCAGGAAGATGACCTTAAGGCGGTCTCCCACCACAGGGTCATTATTGACGATGTCACCGATTGATGTGAACAGTTTGATGATCATTTTGGCCGTGTGGTAACCTGGAGCAGCCTGCAAACACCCAGCATGCTCTGCTGTCAGCCTCCCACACACAAAAACCCTGTGGACACTGTACAATGATTTTATCTGTGTGTTCATGTGCTGTCTTGTAAGCTCAGTCATCCATAGATAACAACAAAGAAGGTTCAATCTTGTCATCTGGACCAGTTTCTTTAAGTGAGAAAAGTTTTGTCCCCAATCCAGAGGACTTCCTCAGTCTACGGCCTGCCAACTGAAGTCCTCTGGATTGGGGACAAAACTTTTCTCACTTAAAGAAAATGGTCCAGATGACACAATTTCTGGTAGGGGTAGTATTAGTATTATTAATATTATTGCTATTATTATTAGTAGTAGTAGTAGCAGTAGCAGTAGTAGTAGTAGTATTAGTAATATTAGTATGTAGTAGTATTAGTAGTATTAATAGTAGTGGTAGTAGTGGTCATAGTGGTAGTAGTAGTAGTAGTAGTAGTAGTAGTAGTGGTGGTGGTGGTAGTAGTGGTAGTAGTAGTAGTAGTGGTAGTGGTAGTAGTAGTAATAGTAGTAGTAATAGTAGTAGTAGTAGTGGTATTAGTGGTAGTAGTAGCAGCAGCAGCAGTAGCCGTAGCAGCGGCGGTGATGGTGGTACTAGTAGTTGTAGTAGTATTAGTGGTGGTGGTAGTAGCAGCAGCAGTAGTAATTGTTGTTGTTGTAGTACTAGTTGTAGTACCAGTTGTAGTAGTAGTACTAGTTGTAGTACCAGTTGTAGTAGTAGTACTAGTTGTAGTACCAGATGTAGTAGTAGCTGAGAGTCATTCTCAACATGGACAGTAATCCCTCACTACTTCGTGGTTTGTTTTCGCAGACTCGCTCTATCGCGGTTTTTCAGAATAAGATTGGACATTGCACACAATTAGTTGATTGATGGATGAGCCACACGATCAGCATGGAAATTTTATTTAAAATAAATTATATTAAATTATTTAGTACCTGCTGCACATTTGTGCAGCCCATACTGCAGGATAAGCTTCCTGCTGTAGCTGATCAGCTGTTCTCCGTGCAGAGTGGAGAAGTGGGCGTGGCCAAAAGCGCTTGCAGATGGCAGAGTACAGCCGAGGCAGGGAGCTGAAATCATGACATTCTGTGCTCTTTTAGAGCGTTTAGAGTTTAAAAGCATTGTCTATTGTAAGAGTGTGGAAAGGGCGGGGCTTAAAGGTACAGATCCCCCGCGGTAAACGAAGGACCACTGTACTCTGAATGTGACATCCTGTGGTATTACATGAAGATTTTAGTCTGAGTATGGCATGAAAGGTAGCGAGTGATTTTATTTCCTTCAAGAAATGTTCATTGTTCAATTTAGAAAAGTTCTAGTCTCTCTTACAGTTTTTGAATGTAGTAAACAAAAGACGAGTGGTTCATGGCTAAACTCTTTGGCTCAGAATCTCACGTTTAAAGAAAATTAAATACAGGGCTGGATGAATAAAATAATACATAGTACAGATTGTGTCTGAATACATATATGATCACATTTAACCTCTTTACTACAACATACATGTTATTACTGCAGGGTGACACGTGAAAATGAGATTTAACTAAATCTTTCATGTTTGTTGTGCGGATGCAGTGAAATGTGACTGATTTTAAACTTTTTGTGAGAAAACAAAACTTGTAATAACATTAGTTATTTTCTAGCTCACCTTTCCTCCAATCATGATAGTCCTGGGAGTCCAAGGCTTGTTGGGTTCCTTCCTGATGCCTGGTTTGAGAAGAGAAAGATCTCCGATTCACTGTGTCTCTGTGAAGCAGTCAGACAGGAAGAGCAGCACTCACGGTTGTACAGCGTGATGATGTGCAGGCAGTTGAGCAGCTGTCGTTTGTACTCGTGGATCCTCTTCACCTGGACATCAAACATGGAGTTGGGGTTGATCTTCACCTTGGACTGCTCTTCCAGGTAGGCAGCAAACTTCAGCTTGTTTTCCTGGAAGGTCGAGCAGAGATGCAGATGAATACCAAAATAAACTCATTCACAACTAGGACAAATGCAGAAGGGTCAGAGCGGCTGCTAGCTGAAACTTCTACAAATATCAACCAAGTTCTCCGAAACCCAACAGAACCTGCTTCGAGGCCCAGCATTCGTTGAAGGAACGCATATCACCCACCACCAAGAGTTTCAGACGATCATCATATGATGGGAAATAAACTTGTAGACATTTTGGACAAAGATCTTGCATGATCTGGGAACAACTCTCTGCTACCACCACACCAGATTTAGCTTAATATCTGTCATATTGGCCGAGTTATAGTCATTTGTGTTCCCTGAGGTCAGTTAGCTGTGGTGGCCATCTTGAATTGGTTGACTCTAGGGGTAAAGTTACACCTACGCCAAAATTTCAATAGCATTTGTCCACTGGTTCATGAAATATTTTGCTACTACAAAAGACACGAGCACAGATATCACCTTCGGGCAATAATCTAAACTGACACAAGGGCTGATGTCCCCTGTTGCTGAAGGGTTTGAGTAGTGAATGTTTGTAGTTTTTGAGATGAGTGTTTTTCTGGACTGGAATTGAACTGAGAATGAAAGTAAACTTTAATGTTTTTGGAGAAAAATATTCAAGTGGGTAGAAGTTACACTGGAGAAGAACAGAGGGAGGTCTGTATTCTTGTCCAAGGCAGCACAGAGTGATGGATCCTGGAGAGTGGAGGGAGCAACTTTATCCACCACCAGGTGCAGGGGGGGAGCCAGGGGGTGGCCAATGGTGGCCTTGGCCACCATAGATTAATCTACTAGGGCCACCCTAATCATTTGATGAAACCATACTTTCAATTTTTTTGTTCTTTGTCATTTTTTAATAGGTGTTTTGATTCATAAATTTGCAGGAACCTAAAAAAGTATTATTTTTTATTAATAAGATGTGATGGGAATAAAGTTGCAGGAGAAGGGGTGGGCTAATACAAGTATGTACTTTGTCCCATTCATATAAGCATAGGAATATTATATATTAGTAACTATTTCTGTTATTATCTGTTGTTACGTTCAACCAATTTAAGAAATAAGGTAAAAACTAGAAAGCATAGTTTCCTCAAATGACTGGGGTGGCCAGTTTATATGGTGGTGGCCATCTTGGATTTTGACGTGGTCACCCAGTTTTTGATAGTGACCTTTCTTACACCTAGATTCAGCCACACACCAACATGGATGTTGGTACCTCACTTATTTTTCAACTTATCATGCTTACAACGTGCATGGACAAACAGTATTTCCAATTCCCACTCTTTCGTTCACAACGGGGACAAACACGCCGACCTTTTGATATATAAATTAAAAAGTTTAACAAACAATGTTTGTTTGCAAAAAATTTGGAAAGTTCAGACACATCGCCACCCTTTAGATTGAACATACTGAGGTGAAACCTTTAAAAATCATCAAACCTAAGCTGTGATTGTATAAAAACATCAAAATGTCAGTTTAGTTGTGTAAAGTCCAACATCAAGTGACACATTTCAGCTCTGAATGATGTTTCTATGTTGTTACTGATGTTACTGAGGTTTTCCACTTGTCCTGTCACATCTTACTGTTTACAGGAAATAACGGCAAATAGAAATGAGAGCTTTAATTGTCATGCACTGCCTCCTTAATTATAGATTCGGAGCACTCACTTGTTTGATTTTTGCCACATCTCTAATGAAAGCATCATCATCTATGAAGTCCAAAAGCTTCTTCAGCTGATCCAGGTCACGGATGTAATCCTCTCCAATCCTCTGGAAGATTTAAAAGATGGTTAACGTTCACAGAAATTAGGTATATGAACTTTTATTACAAACTAAATGGGAAAAAAAAACTAATTTAGGTATGATTAAGGATTTAAATCTAAGCTATTTTAATCCTTCACTGCAACAATCTTCTAAATGTCACAAATCAGAAATACACCAGTCTTTGCTAGTTAACAAAACAATGGCCTATTATTGGTTGGCCTGCTATTTATCACAGTACACACAGATCAGCCCCAATCTGAGAGAATCTAAATGTTTTAAATAAATAAATAAAATTTAACGTTCGGCCAATTCCTGCAAGAAAACAGTTAGCTGAAGCTTATATCATTTACGTTTTGCGAAATTTATTCAATCCCCCCCAAAAAATAAAATAAACCACTTTAACGCACCTCAGCGATGACCTCAGCTAGGCCTGGATTGCACATGACCAGCCAGCGCCTGGGTGTGATCCCGTTGGTCTTGTTCTGAAACTTCTGAGGGTCCATGTCGTAGAAATCCTTGAACCTGCACCAGATGTAGAGCTACACTCAGACAAGGAAACATCACGGTACATTAATAATAAGAGAAGGGTCTGGTACACAGTGTCTTTGATGATTTCAGAGTGGATGCGGGCCACTCCGTTGACTGCATGGGACCCCACGATGCACAGATGAGCCATGTTGATTTTCTTCACGTCCCCCTCCTCAATCAGGGACATTCTGCGCAGTCGGTCAGAATCTCCGGGATAAAGTTTACCGATGCGCTAGAGGAGTAAAGAACAAAACATTTAGACAATTATCAAAAGACCACCACTGAATGATTTTGATGGTAGTGATTTGTACCGAAGGGGAAAAAATCCAAAATTTGACACAAAACGGTTTCAGTTCATAGCTGAACGTTCTTTCTTTAGAAGAACATTCCCATAAAGGCCAAGCATTCCTTGAAGGAACGCATATCGCCCACCACTGTTCATGAAAGTTTTAGGCTCAAGTCACCTCCTGATCAAAGGACAGAGGTGAAACTTTTCTGGTCAAAACTTGTAAATATTGTGTTTGTAATAATATGTTCCATGTGATATTTGAAATAAGGCAATGAGTACAATTTAAGTACGACGACTGAATTTACTTTGGTTTACTGCTCTGTATATCAAATAAAGAAATATCCCTTTTACTCCCGAATCCTTTGTACCTCCAAATGCCTCCTGTTGATCTCGTATATAATCTCCAGGTGTCGAGGCAGCAGGTTCTGGAAGAGGTCTACGGGCCAGCGCTCAAGGGCCTCAGGCAGGACGGTGTGGTTGGTGTAGGCACAGGTGCGAACCACGATGTCCCAAGCCTGGATATAGAAAACCATGATGGTAATGTCCCCATTTTTCTCCAACACAGAAATATGTATTTATATATACAACTATATCAAATTGTGCTAAGATTCATAACTGGCTGTAAATACCGTACCCACAACTGCACCCAGTATTCACTGGTTAACTGGTCATCATTAACTTCACTCAGACTCTCCCACTGGTACATTTTCATCTTTAAATCACTTCTTGGTCTGCTGCCTTCATACATCTCCTCCTACATGTCTCTGCGTGAGTGCAGTTACAGCGTGCGCTCTCAGGACATTATTACCTGCAGTGTCCCCTCAGTGCGGACTGAACTAGGCAAAAGGGCCTTCTCCTACTCTGCTCCTGTTTCCTGGAATATCTTGCAAAAAGATCTGAAGCTCTTGATCGTGACCTCTCTAAGTGACTTCAAACATCTGTTAAGTTCCTGGGAAAAAGCCAATGCAGACATGTTCCTGGTTTTAATTTTCTACATTGCCTTTCAACCTAGCTGTTTTTTGTTACTTTTTTAAATACCATTTTATTTTCACTTGTTAAATAAACTAATTAACTAATAAAGCTGCTTTACCAAGTCCTAAAATAAAGGTAACAAAATCTCATATATATTCTCATAACTAGGAAATTTCAGAAGAAATTTTGAAGGCAGCTGCTACCTAAAGTTGTAGCAAAACTTTATCATACTGTAATTTTTGAACCTGTACGCTCCACACTGGTTTGTCGTCATTATCTGCATCGTTTTTATGTCTATAATCTGATTTACTTCATTTTGTATATTGCTTTGTGTGTTACCTGTTGTTCTGTCTGTACAGCACTTTGGTTGGACTTGTCGCTGTTTTAAGTGCTCTATAAATAAAATGGTATGGTATGGTATGGTAATCAAAGGCAAAGAAAAGTACCACATACGGCGCATTATACGCCCGTGGAAAAACCCATACAGAAATACAACAAGCTGCAGCAATGGCCCAGACAGCAAAGACCTTGCATAAATTTGGCCTTGAAATGCAACCTTGACCTTGGAGCTGGGTGATGAAAAGTGTATGTGTGCCTCTGTCTAGCAATGATGCATGTGTATATCGAGTTTTGTTTAATAATCCTGAGAAGATCAGAAATTATGAGCAAGAGAAGAAAAAGTTGACGAAAATATCCAACATTTTTCAGTCAGGTCATCTGGACAGTTTCTTTTTTGTGCTGAAACGTGCCGGATCGAAGGCGAAACGTTTCAGCACAAAAAAGAAACTGTCCAGATGACCTGACTGAAAAATGTTGGATTTTATACCTGGATTATTGAGCATGGACTTTGTTGTTTACGAAAATATGTACAGATTGTACCATAATACAATAATAAAAATATCCACATTTAACTGTATAAGACATTTAAAGAGACCAAGATAAGAGACGGTAAAGTCCTTGCCAGTGGCTTGATCATCATGGTAACCACACATCAGTAACGATCAATCAGTGTGGAAGCTTGGCTACCAAAGTACCTGGAGAAAACTCTTGAGAGAACATGTAAACTTCACACAGATGTGAGGATTGGGGTTTGTTCGTGTTCCTCTGGCTCACCACGCCCACTCACAACTGTTTCTGAATAACTCCTCTCAGGAGTTTCTGTTTAGCCATGTAGTTCTGGCGTATTTATTTTAAATAGGGGGACTGTGGCTGAGTGGTTAGAGCGGTCGTCCTCCAATGCAAAAGTTGGGGGTTCGAATCCACCAGCAGTCACATGCCAAAGTGTCCCTGGGAAAGACGGTGAACCTCTCATTGCCTCCGATGTGTGTCCCATAGGTGTATGAATGTGATAAAGCTCTGATTATTCTTTGTATAGATATATTAGAGTGCTGTATGAATGGGTAAATGAGGGCACAGATTGTAGTGTAGAGCGCTTTGAGTGCCTTCATAAGATAGAAAGGTGCTATATAAGTACAGTCCATTTATTTATTTTCTCAAAGTCCCTGTTTTGTTAGTCCAGTCCTTCTCAAATAGTGGGGCGCGCCCCCCTGGGGGGGCCCGGAGCAATGCCAGGGGGGGCGCATGTGACCCCGAGGAACATTTTGCGGCAGGGAGGTTTTTTTTTTTCTCTTTTTTTTTCCACCATTCTCATTTTGTCAGGGTGCGTTTGTCAACTGTTTGCTAAAATCCGGCAACTCTCAGTTTTAATAATAATAAAGTTATGAACAAATATGTCTGTCTTGTCGTTTGAGGAGCCATGATTGAACCGTGTCGCTTCCCTCTGCTGCTGAGCAGCTGGTGACACTCGTCACCCGCAGCACGCGTTAGTTGCCTGCCCCACTTTCACTTTAACTTTTTGTTTGTTTGTTTTTTGTTTTGCCAAAACACAATTTTGATGTTTTTTAATACAGAAGTAATGTTTAATAAATGTAATAAAAGTCCAGGTCCAGCCAAGGCTGGATTAACCTTATGGGCAACTGGGCAACTGCCCTGGGGCCCAGGGCAGTGAGGGCACAAGCAAAATATCTGGTTATCTCCTGCTTTACTTGGAGTCCTGCGCTGCATTTGTGCAGCCCCGCCTCATCCCAGCTGCTGCAGCTCTCGGGTTTTTTTTTCAATCTGATCCTCTACGCGACCTGCCAATCAACTCAGTAGGCGTGTCAGTAACTGACCAATCGACGACCTCAATTTGTCCCGAAGGTAAACGCCCCTTACCTGCTGACAAACTCATCAGTTTTTTTTTTCTTGAGAAACATTGTTTTAATTAAAACAATAAGTTTGTATCTGTTGTGAGATGACTTTAGCAGTTTTGCAGATTTTTAATCTACTTAATGAAGAATAGTATGACTTAAAATCATTCATTAAACAGGAAGGAAGGCTTATTATCCCTCCTCTTACTACAGTGAATGTGGTACTTTGCTATAAGTACAACTATATTAATGGCATCAGAGAAAGCTGAGTTTAAGTTATCCACATAGAATAAAATGGAATCAGCATGAAAAGAAGGAATGTTGAGTTTGAGATGAATCCAGTTTCTGATGTCTGACCAAACACTTTGTATTGACATGAAAAAAACATATTTGAGGGATTCATCTTCTGATTTACAAAAGACACAAGAATAAACCTCAAATTTAAATCTTCTTTGCAGAAACATGGCTACAGGATATATCTTATTTATTATTTTTAAATGATTCTCCTTCACTTTAGAAGATTTAGGCCATTTGGCAAATTTAGAATTAGCAGAAGTCATACTGGTTTTATGATTTATATTAGGAGGTTTCTTGAAGGAATCTTTGTTATACTCAGTAAATCCTTTGTTGCAAACATTCATTGATAATCTTATTACATTTGAAGTCAACTAAGTTACAGGTATTTAATTTTAATGTGGGCATCAAATCATCACCTTTGATTATATAATATTTTTAATTCATTGAATCAGCTGTTGGTCAGACTACTTCTTGTTGTGCCATTAGCTCTAAAATAGTTACTGAATCAAGTGTTTACTTCCATCCATCCGTGGGGGTAGCAGCTTAAGTGGGGAGGCCCAGACTTCCCTCTCCCCAGCCACTTGGACCAGCTCCTCCAGGGGAATCCCAAGGTGTTCCAAGTGTTTACTTATGTAGGTAAAACTAGATGTTAAACAACCATTAAAATACACTAGAATGCAGGAAATTGCATGTACTTTACTCAAAATTTTCTGGGGGAGGACCCCCAGACCCCCCCATCAGTGTGATCTATATTTCTATCTTTTTTTTAATTTAATGTTAATAAGGATACAATGCTTTGTAGAGGTGTACTTATAACAATTTTATAGACAAATTATACTATTTACAGTCGCGGCGGAGAGTTGGGGGGGGGGGGCGTGATATGTTTACTTCTTCCTAAGGGGGTCCGTAACAGAAAATAATTGAGAAGCACTGTATTAGTCAGTCATTATTCTGTCTTTTGTACCCGTGTCCACTGATGATTTGTATCTGTGAGTTTCCTGTTAGAATGAGTTTGCCTGTTAATGACATGTGATTATAACACTGCCATTTGCATTGGTGTCAGAAGCATTTGTAATATGTGGGTGGGGGGGTCCTCCCCTAGAAAACTTTTAATAAATTAGATGCCATTTCCTGTATTCTGTTGTATTTTAAGGGGTTGTTAAGCATCTACGTTTACCTACATAAGTAACACTTGATTCAATTACTATTTTAGAGAGCATGGTACAACGAGAAGTAGCCTGACCAACAGCTCTCCTTGTGTGAATAGAGCACGCTCCGCTTCTCTCACACATCCTAACCGTACCGCCACCACGGTCAACAACTGCTGGCACTAACATAGCGCTAAGATAGTGCACAACACAGAGGTGTCTCCCCCTCCTCCCCCTGCCCTGTTGACAAAAAATCTCAAAGAGATGAGCGCCCTGCCAAGGCAAGTAACTGAGGAGAAACACTTCATGTTGTGTGGTGAGTTGTTGCAGGTAACCAGGAAAACCTGGATTGACTATTAGTGGTTTGAGTTTTCTCCTATTAATCAAGTGGAACGGATTTGTTCATGAAGTAATAGAAACAGCACTGGGTGAACTAATATTTCATGGTAAATGTGTGTGTGTGTGTGTGTGTGTGGGGGGAGGGGATCCAAACAAAAATTTTTTAGTGTTAGGGAGACATGTTCACTTTACATATAACTGATGCGACGCCTATTTGTCCTTTCACAAAAGTTGAGCTGAAATTTAAAGGAGGGGAGGAAAGCTGACCCAACCTTTACTGCATCCCCTTGAACTAAAAGGGTTAAATGTAGCCTGCTGCTGCTAGTCCAATGTATTGATCAACTGATCATCAGCAAATTGTGAGAGTCAATGTAAAAAGCAAACATTTGAAAGTCTGGTTGAGCCCAATACATCAGAAGTGTATGATATGATTTACCATCTCCCAGGACTGTTTCTCATCGTCCACCAGGAGCCTCATCAGCTCCGGGATGGCGAGAGCAGGGTGAGTGTCATTCAGCTGAATAGCCACCTGCAGACCAAAATACAGAAAACAGGTCATACAGCAGACACTAACATTCGTGATTCCAACATGTCAGAAGGTCAAAAAATGAAGAACAGAGATCAGAACAGGATGAAGCAGGCACCTTGTCTGGCATTGTAGAAAGGTCCAATCGCACAAACTCTGTGGAGCCAAACTTGGAGGCTTTGAATCGCCTGATGATGTCTTGAAGGGTGGCTGCGACAACGAAGTACTCCTGCTTCAGACGCAGCTCCTTCCCTTCAAAGAACTGAAGAACAAAACACAGAACTGATCAGCTCGTTCATCTAACGTACACTAAACCAACAAACCTCACATTTATTGTCCCTCGTCACAGGGCGAATAAGGGAAATACCCTCCGTCCATGCATCTGTGCATGTTCAACAATGTTCAGTCAGGTCATCTGGATGGTTTCTTTTTTAAGCTGAGACGTTTCATCCTTCATCTAAACGACTTCCTCGATCTGAGGAGCCACCAAACAAAACTGATTCCCACAACAACAGCATACTCCATAGTGGAAAAAAACAGTTTGCTGGTGCTAAGATGGCCTCTGGGGCCCACCTTCTCCCCCGTCAACTCCTCTGAGATGTATGTCAAATAAATCGACTACCAACCTCAGCATATCATCAACTCACTGTCAAACTGCAGAACCCAATAAAGTATCATTGTAAGTTTCTGAGTACGAATATTAAGCTTTCAAGCACAAAAAAAATATTTTCATGCTTTGTTTTATAAAAATTCCATAGATTCCCCAATGGAAAAATAAAACTTAACTACTTGATATGCTGTTTTGGATATTTTCCCACAGCTTGTCTGAACATAAAGCATTTTTAGGCTGACAAAAATCATTTAAAAGCTCAGAATTTCCACTCACGTTGTCGTTGGGGTAGAGAACCCTGGAGATGTTCTCAGCCAGGTTTCTGTCCAGCACAGCTTGGATGTAGCCTCCAACATTAACTGAGGGATAACAGCAGGGTCAGCAGATCATTTGTCTGAATGTGAGAGCCTTCAAAAGAGTGGTGGGGTTTGTGTCGAGTAAATAAGTGCTTGAAGCAGTACTCACAGTCTTTGAGGTTGAAATCACAGGGGGCCTTCGCAGACCACAGCCTCATGGTGTTGACAATGTTGTTCCTGTAGCCAGGGACCGGGGTGTCGTAGGGAAGAGCCAGGACCACCTGATTCAGCCAGAGAAAAAACAGATCAACACTCTGTTAGGCTCTCATCAGCACACGCACAGTTTGACTTTTTTGATTCTATGATGAAACTAGAAAATGTCTGAAGAAAATCTGAACGGCGCTGAAGCAGGTGCTGCCTGAAATTCAAACGTAACTTCCTGAAAACTGAAGCTGACAAAACACCAGAGTTTTGATGTCTGGACTGGAAAAGAAATGTGAGGAGAACCAAGATCAAAATAAATGTTACAGCAGCTGTCAGTGGCTCATTGTGATCACCATGGTAACCACACACCTGTCTGTCACTCCCTTAAATGGTAAATGGACTGTACTTACATACAGTGTGCCAGACTGTGCCTTTCTATTTAATCAAGATACTCAAAGCTCTTTACAACAACCTGTGTCCTCATTTACCTCCAACACACACATTCATACAGCACTCTACTACATCTCTACAAAGATAATCTGAATCTGTGGAGATTAATCAGAGCTTTGATCACATTCATACACTGATGGGACACACATCAGAGGCAATGAGGGGGTCAGTGTCTTGCCCAGGGACACTTCAACATGTGATTGATGGTGGAATCTAACCCCCAACTCTTCCCTTCAACATATGATTGCTGGTGGAATCTAACCCCCAACTCTTGCACTGGAGGATGACTGCTCTAACCACTCAGCCACAGCTGCTACATACTTTGCATGCCTTACCGCCCACCACTCCAAAATGTGTGTATCAGAGGGAAACCCTCAGGGCCTTCAACTCCTTCAGAGAGGGCCAATAAATTAAGGACATATTTAATAATTTCTGCACTCGCTCTTGTGCAAGGCGTATGTCTCCTTTCCCTCTCCTGTTCTCCTCCTGCTTTTTTGCTCTCCGTCTGTGCATGAGATCTTATTTTACACATCTTCCGAAACGAAAACTACTGTCATGGATAACAACAAAATCCATGCTAAATAATCCAGGTATACAATCCAACATTTTTCAGCCAGGTCATCTGGACAGTTTCTTTTTTGGGCTGAAACGTTTCGCCTTCGATCCGGAAGGCTTCATCAGTCAAGGAAACACACAACAAAACTGATTATTCACCCAACAGCTTACTCCAAAGTGGAACAAACCAGTTTTGTTTGTGATAAGATGGTCTCTTTGGTACACCCCCTCCTCCATTGCCGGCCCTCTTCCTTGTTGACAGTGTCGTGTCAAACTGGTTGAAAACATCAAAGTCCATGCTCAATAATCCAGGTATACAATCCAACTTTCAACTTAATCGACAACATCTTTTCAACAAAGGGACAGGGTCCTGGAGAGCCCTCATGCCCCGCTGAGACTCATGCAGCAAGATACGTCATGGACTTGGAAGCTGATGTGTCTTTCTGTTATGTCTCAGGGGGATGCCAAAGATGTATATAACTGGATTCATGATAGCAGGGTTTCTGCTTTCTGGCATCAGCAGATTCCTACGTTATCGGCTATTACGGAAGATGGCGGCAGCAGTTTCGGCCATGGTAAAACTATCCTCATGGCTTTTCCCCCATTTCTATCTAAAAAAATATTTTGAAAAAGGATAAGGGGCTGCGCTCCAGTACCAGCAGCAACGTGAACTTTTCCCATCTTTCGGACGATTGTATGAACATAATTTCACTGTATTTCGGTACAATGATAAAAAAGCTTATTCTGATTCTGAATATTTATTTTACACAAAATATATGTCAAAGTAGATTTTCTTTATTGTTTTGTTAATTTCTCTTATTTTCTGTAAACTATTTTACTTTTATTCATGAAAATACAGCTAACAAATCAGATTTTTTTTTATTGGTGTCTCCAGGCAGAAACATGTTTGAAGAAGCTATGGTTATGGTCGGCCTTCACTGTCAGGAGAGAAGGCTTAGCTCAGTCAGAGGCACTCCAGGATGAGTTTGTTTAGTAAATGTTAGATTATTTGTTAAACAAAATGTTACTATTAGATATTGATATAGTTAGGTTTTTATTAAATACAAAAAATACACACAGACTAAATAAATAAATAAGCTGTGTTACATATTGGCCATCAGCTGCCCTAATTGCTAAAGATCAGTATTGGTCATACAGTGTTTCCCCTAGATAACTTGCCATGGTGGGGTGCACATCTCGTCTGTGATTATACCAACAGTTTTAGAGAAGGGGGTGGGGGGACAGAGATACAGCCGCGCACTGCTTGCACAGACAGTTTTACAGTTTTGTAGCAGGGCAGTGGCGAGAGACAGACACATCTCAGCCGCGCGCTGTCTGTACCGACAGGTTTTTATTTTATTTTTTGGGGTGGGGGAGGGGAGGGGGAAGGGGGGGAGACAGATTCACACGAGCCGTGCGCCGTTTGTACCGACAGTTTTCGAGTGTGTGTGTGTGTGGGGGGGGGGGGGTCAGCGTGAGGATTTAGCATGAGGGAAGAGGCTGCCTTTAGCTTTTTAGCTAGTGCATTGCGAGCTGCTAGTTTAGAGTTACGTCAGTGCCGACAGGTGGTTGGGTGGGGAGGGGGGATTCGGTAGACAGGGCGCTCGGCTCTGTTGACGGGGCGGTGCGCCCCGCTTGTATAACGGTAGGGGAAACACTGGTCATAAAAAAACTCATCGATCAACCTCTAGTTAAGTTTCTTGCCAAAAGACACTCGCAGGACTGGGCTCTGAGCCTCTGATCTACTGACAGGAAGACAAACATGTGTCAACTAACCTGAGTGTCAACCCATTTCACTCCTTCTAGTGTGTGTTCCACCCTGCCATAGAAGTGAACCGGACGCATATACTCCGGGCGAGCCTTCTCCCAGGGGTTTCCATATCGCAGCCAGTCGTCTGCTTCTTCCACCTGTGAGGACATTATTTGTTTTAGGGGGTTAGGGAACCTGCAACACATACTTATCTCAGAAAAATAACTTTAACTTGGCTCCATTCACAGTTAAGAGTTGGTTTGAGTTATAACACTGATAATGTGTGAGCAGGTTTGCAATAACTTTATCATCTCGCACCAAGTATGTGAAACAGCTTCACTGTAGAAACACGTACATTATATTTGTTATCAAAAAGTTCTCGCCCTGAATAAGAAGCTGCTGTCAATATTGCATTGGACCAAGATGTCCCTCTTTGTCCTGTTGATGCTGATGTTTAGACCATTGGGGAGCTCTGAAGGTGATGGTCTGTGTTGTTGGCAGTTTTGCTCCACAATATTTAGTTAACATTTGCTTACAGAGAATGCGTTTTATACGAACTGAAGGACTGAAAGGCATTCATTTTTAGGTATAACTTGCACAATGATGAAAACCATCCATCGTTTGTTGATACGTGCCTGCCAGCCGTTGAGAATTTTCTGATTGAAGATGCCAAACTCGTAGCGGATCCCGTACCCATAAGCAGCAAGACCCAGAGAGGCCATGGAGTCCAAGAAGCACGCTGAGGAGGTAAGACGATGAGGAGAGGTTGTGAGAAGAGACACATATCAAATTTGTAAGGATCACCAGACTTCCCCGTCTGTCGGCACCCTGATTGGAACTCACCAGCAAGACGACCCAGTCCTCCGTTACCCAGGCCGGCGTCCTCCTCAATGTCCTGCAGCTCCTCCATGTCCAGACCCAACTGAAGAACACAATCAGCACATTGTTTCAGCAAACGCCCTGAACGTGACATTCATACCCAGAGAAATATAAATAAGATTTAATTATTTTAGCTCAAGGCAAACAAAGATGTAAGTTCATATCTGTATCCAGCTGGAGTTCTTCTAATCCATAAAACATATATGACAACATAGAGAATAACCAACAAAAAGGCATTAAATTACATCATACTTAAGATTGTAGAGGGGGTGCATATATATGCATGCACAGACCACATAAAGAGCCAACATATTTATTAGCGTATAGTTCCTCATTTATCAAGTGAAAAACCACCAATTGGGAATAGTAGTACAAGTAGTTTATGTTGGTATTTATAAATACATAAATAAATAAATATTATATATATATATATATATATGTCATGATTTCAGCTCCCTGCCTCCAGCTGCACTCTTGGCCACGCCCATTTCTCGAAGATCAGGTGCATGAGGAAGTTATCCCACAGCTGTGGGCAGCACACAGGTGCTAAATAACTTAAAATAATTTATTTTAAATAAAAATTCCATGCCATTTGTGCGGCTCATCCATCAATCAATCAAATGTGTGTCATGTCCAATGTTACTTTGAAAAACCACGATAGATTGAGTTTGCAAAAATGGAAGTAGCGAGGGACTACTGTAATCCAATTTCAATTATAATGCAACACCACCACCACCCCCCCCCCCCCCACACACACACACACACACACATTTCTTTACCTTAAAAAGCATTTAAAAAATCTAATCCTCATGTATAATACAACCTCTACTTTCATATAGACTTCAGGATTTTTCAGCCTTTGTGGTTTTAAAAGTAAAATGACCATATAATGATTGGGGTATTAACCATATGTCTTCTGACATATGATTAATAGTCACCACTGATCTGCCAATTTTTTGTGCACTTTTTCAGCAAAGAGCATTTGCCAGGATTGGAGATGTACATAAGAGGACACCTTCAGGCGGTTTTGGAAAAGATCTTGACAGATCAGAATGACCCTTTTGTTTTTTGTATATTTGGCAGCACGACGGATCAGTGGTTAGCACTGTTGTCTCACAGCAAGAAGGTCCTGGGCTCAATACCGCGGTTGGACCTGAGGTCTTTCTGTGTGGAGTTTGCATGTTCTTCTTGTGCTTGTGTGGGTTTTCTCCAGTTTCCTCACACAGATTAAAAACATGCATGTTAGGCTGCCTTCAGGCCCAGGCCTCCCTTGCAAAAGAGATCTGTGATCTCAATGGGATTTGTCTGGTTAAATAAAGGTTAATAAATAAAATACATTTTATTCTGGTCTAAAGGAGCAGGGTTGTTAAATGTATTTTTACTGCTGTTTTTTGTTCTATTGAATTTTTTTACTGTTGTTTCGAGCTTTATGTTTAAGTCAGTTTTTGTTTATGCCACCCATGTGTCCACATTATGATGCGAAAAGGATCTTAAATGTAGTCATCTCTTTCCACAGTCACCTCTTCCATCTTTTCTGGGAGGACCCCAAGGCATTCCTAGATAGGGGTGGGCGATATGGCTCAAATATAATAGTGTGATATTTCAGAGCATTCTGATGAGAACGATAAATTTTGCAATATAAAAAACAAACAGAAATCGTAGTTATTTATTTGACTAAATTAACTTAACATGTTGCTTTGCGGTATTACAAAAAAAATTTAAAAACAAGGGGTAATTTTACTGAAATTACTTTATTTAGTAAAGTATTCAGTCTCCAAGTATAAAAATAAAAAATAAAAATGATCCTTCTGTTATTTAGATTGAATAAGTCTGCACAAATAGATCAATAAATCCAACACAGAAACTAAAGTGCAGGTGCAGTTTCCCAAAATAACTAAATAAAATGAAGCTTAAGATCATTCATCATTCATTCACTTGTTTTAAACTTTCACTCTTTTCTATAGTTTTATCCTTTAAAGCAGGGTCTTTCTAATGGCTTTTACTGGTGTAAAGAACAAAAATATCACTCCGTGCTTGTCTGTTTTAGTTTTATTCTCACCATCGTTTGGTCTCTTCCTGTCCCCACAACCCTGAACCGGTCCAGGCAGACGATTGACCTCCCCGACCCCGAGTCCCTGAGTCTGGTTCTATTTTTGTGTTAAAATCAAGTTCTTACTTCCCAACTCTGCCAAGACTTGCTTGACTTGAAATGTTTGAATTTTTGTAAAGAAGCTTTTTGTTAAGTAAAAAAAATGAGAGCTGAGCTGAGAAAACTTAAACAGACCGATGAATGTCTTTCAGGAGGACTTTCCCTGGACAGGAAGAATGAAACACACTCCTCTGCTGTAAAGATGCTTCTCAGAGTTACTCATCTCAGAAATAACCAAATAATGGCACTGGTGCTTAAACTGAATGTTTCACAAGGGTCAATGGGCAGACACCACTGAAAATCCACTGGTCATGGCAGACTGTTATTCAGGCCATTGTGCCTGAACAAAACCTGCATGGTATGTTAGGGTCACTCAGGGTATAATGCAAAATTATTATTTTTTATTTATTAACCTTTATTTAACCAGGCAAATTCCACTGAGATCACAGGTCTCTTTTGCAAGGGAGACCTGGACCTGAAGCAGCCTAACATGCATGTTTTTGGTCTGGGAGGAAACTGGAGTACCCAGAGAAAACCTAAACAAGCACGAGAAGAACATGCAAACTCCACCCAGAAAGACCTCAGGTACAACTGGGGATTGAACTCAGGACCTTCTTGCTGTGAGGCAACAGTGCTAACCACTGAGCCATCATGCTGCCACCACCAAAATAAGATTATCTGAAAGGTCACTATACTGAAAAAACAAAAGTTGCCAAGTTTATTTTGTCAATATTTTTTTAAATATGATATTGTATTTTTTATGCTTTTGATGTCTTCAGACCTGTTCTACAAAATACAGATTAGTCAGCAAGTGTATTTAAACCTGTGACTCATGCCATGTATCCAAAGGTTTTCACTGACCTTCATCCCTTTCATTCAACCTTTATTTAGACATGTTAATCCCACTGAGCCTCAGGGACTCATTTACAAAAGAGACCTGAACTGTCTGGTGTGCTTCTTGGTCTTCATGATGCTGTTTGATCACTTATGTTGGGTAACAAACATCTGAGGCCTTTTAGTTTAAGGTATCAGAATAAATGGGCTGAATACCAACGCACGCCACACTTTTCTGATTTTTATTAGTAAAAAAAATGTAATCCATTGTCCTTCAACTTCAAAATTATGCTCTAATTTGTGTTGCTCTGTCACATAAAAGCCCAGAAAAATACTTTGAACTTTGTGGTTGTAGTGTAACAAAATGTGTAAAAAGTTTATGGCACTGCATTGGTATCAGTACATACTTCTTTATTTTATTTTTTTTTCCAATTAAATTTATTGAAATTAAAATAATAAAGAAATATGCATTTTTTGGTGCCACTTTACAATAAGGCTCCCCTTATAGATGGCTAATAAATAGTTTATAGATATGTTATTAATTCCTCTATAAACACTTTATAAATCATTAATAGCTGCTTATTATCATTAATTAAGGGTGACAGACACAAAACGGACCAGTTTCTTGTCAAATAGTGAGCCAGATCTGTTCACCTATATATTTCATCTAAAGTTGTTATATTAGACATTTCAAACTAAGTTACTACCTTGTGAGCACAATAAGTATTTGTAAACCTAATTTTTAAGCATATAATATTAGTTGTAGATACTTATAATGCAGTGATAAAGTACAATATTATATACTAAAAAATTAGGTTT